CCTGTTACTGCTGTTTTAGGGCGTTTGTGTATTCCCTTTTACTTCCTTCTTTAATTCAATTTCTTAATGTCCATTTAAACATGTCCACATCTCTGGGTGTGTCTATGCTTCCTCTATGGCATGTGTGAGAAGTTTGCCACAATGGAAGCTCTCCTGAGCATTAGCACCCAGTGGTGTTCATTGGATTTTATCGCAAAGGTATATTGCACCTGCATAATTGACCTGCCATGCTCAGACACTAGCCTTCCAGAGAAAAACAGGTGTTCCTACTCCCACAATCAATGTGTACCTACACCCAAAATCAAATAGTTGAAAATATTTAATATATTATTGAACATGTCTTGAATAAGTTAAATAATGTATAGGTTTATACAGGAAAGCTTTACCATATACAGTGGGTAACATAAAAAAACACTTCAGGAAAACCATGCCAAGAATAAGATCTAGTACCCCACAAGCTGACATTGATGAATCCCTAGAGAAGACTGTCTCAGAACCTATCAGGGTTTGCAAAGCGGATCAAAAAACACATCTCAAGTATCATCCACCATGACGAAGTAGGCTTCATCCCCAGGATGCAAGACTGTCTGAACATTCGCTAAACCATAAATGTCATTAAATACATCAATAAATGTAAAAGCAAGAATCACATGATTATCTCATTAGATGCAGAAAAAGCTTTTGATAAAATCCAGCATCTCTTCTTGATAATAACCCTCAAACATCTAGGTATAGCAGGAATACACCTCAAAATAGTAAGTGCCATCTACAACAAATCCACAGCTAGCATATTGCTGAGTGGTCAGACAATGGAATCATTTCCCCAGAAAACTGGATCATGACAAGGATATCCACTCTCACCCCTCTTGTTCAATATTACGTTAGAAATTTTAGCCCAAGCAATTAGACAAAAGAAGGAAATCAGGGGTATCCAGATAGGAAAAAAGGAAGTCAAGTTATCCCTCTTTGCTGATGATATGATTCTATACCTTGAAAATTCAAGAGAATCTGTCAAAAACCTGCTTGCACTGATAAAGGACTTTGGGAGATTCTCAGGGTACAAAAATGTACAAACAACAGTTGATTTTCTCTACACCAACAACGAGTAGGCAATGACCCAAATAAAAAGCACACTCCCAAACACAGTATCCACCAAAAAACTGAAATACCTTGGCATCTTCCCAACCAGAGAAGTGAAGGACTTTTACAATGATAACAACAAAACACTTCTCAAAGAAATCAAAGAAGACACAAACAAATGGAAAAATATCTCATGCTAATGGATAGGAAGAATCAACATTGTTAAGATGTCCATTATACCACAGGCAATCTACAGATGCAATGCAATGCCCATTAAGATACTAACATCATTCTTCTCAGACCTGGAAATGACAATACAGAAATTTATATGGAAACATAAATGACCACCGATAGCCAAAATAATCCTTAGCAAAAGAAACAAAGCAGGAGGTATCATAATTCCAGACTTCAAACTTTACTATAAGGCAACTGTAATCAAAACAGGCTGGTATTGGTACAAGAACAGGCACATAGACCAAGGAAACAGGATAGAGATTCCAGAAGCATAGCCTCAATTCCTCAACCAACTCATCTTTGACAAAGGATCCAATAACATTCACTGTGGAAAGGAGAACCTATTCAGTAAATGGTGCTGAAAAACTGACTGAACACATGTAGAAGATTGAATCAGGACCCCTACCTATAACCATACACAAATATTAATGCTAAATGGATCAAAGACCTAAACGTAAAACCTCAAACTGTAATAACCTTAGAAAATGCAGGAAACACTCTTATGGAAGTTGGAACTGGCAACTGATTTCTGATTAAAACCCGAAGTATATAGGCCATAAGAGATAAGATAAACAAGTGGGACCTCATTAAATTGACAAGCTTCTGCAAAGTCGAAGAAACCATCAAGAGCAGGGTGACAGCCCACAGAAGGGGAAAAAATATTTTTCAACTGTATATCTGACAAAGGCTTAACATATAGATTCTACAAGGAACTTAAACATGCCAAAAGGAAAAAAAAAACAGCCCCTTTAAAAAGTAGGAAAAAGACATGACTAGACACTTCTCAAAAGAAGATATATGGGTGGCCAACAGACACATGAAAGTGCTCAGTCTCACTCATCATTAGAGAAATGCAAATCAAAACGACATCGAGATACCACCTAACCCCTGTAAGAATGGCCATCTTTAATAAAACAAAAAATAACAGATGCTGGCAAAGATGTGGATAAAAAGGAACAAAACTACACTGCTGGTGGGAATACAGACGAATACAACCTCTTTGGAAGACAGTGTGGCGATTCCTGAAAGAACTAGAAATTGAACATCCACGTGACCCAGCAATTCCTTTAATGGGAATATGCCTGGAGTAACTCAAATCATTCTACAAAAAAGACTCCTGCACACATATGTTTATTGCAGCTCTATTCACAATAGCAAAAACATGAAACCAACTGTGTTGTCCATCGAAGCTGGATGGGATAAAAATGTGGTACATATACACAATGGAATATTATGAGGTCATAAAGAAGGACAAATATATGGAATTTGCAGCAAACTGTAATATTTGGAGTCAATCATACTCACAGATTTATCACAAAAGCAAAGAACTGAGTTCCATATGTTCTTACTCATAAGGTGAACTTGAACAATTATAATGCTATATGAAAGCAATTGGCAGTAGCAGAAAACTGTCTGGGGAAGGGAGAGTGGGAAAGGCAGTTGGAGAAAACTGCTGGGGAATGGGAGGGAATACCTTATCAACAAGGGTACCTGCATGGTCAATGTTTGTATACCTAACCCTGAATTGTACCCTGCATCTATATAATAAATAAATAAATTTTAAAAATAGCATTGCTGTGTCCAAATTCAGAATGCACAGTGAGATCTGGGCAGCAATAACTCTCAGGGAAGGTTCTCTCATAGGAAAACACTTGAGTCTATACAGTTTCATGTGTGGTGTACATGATCAACTCCTTACTCAGATTCAGCCGAAGAAGAAGCTTTTCTCCTATTGTGTGAAGTAGAGAACATATGCCTGGTAAATAACAGTCTACTGAAGTTTTCTATACATAAGCAGAAACAAAAGAATTTGAGAAACGGTGATCCTACCCTAGATTTAACAGTTCCTAAAGGAAAAGGCAGCTCTGTGTGAACCCACCCTCAGAATTAAAGTGTGATTAGTTAAGGATGAATGGGGTACCCACAATTATTTTCAGAGTACATTCATGCTTCTATATGCCATCTGAGAATACAAAAATATGTTTTCATTTTCAAAAATTCATAATCAGTGTCCCGTTCCTAAAAATGCCCTTCCCGTCTCTCCAACAACAGGTAGCCCATGGAAGGGGCACCTAGTCCCCATAACTGACATTGATCACCTAATTTGTGACAAGATATATGTTCTGGGAGCAGCCCCCCTAAGGTAGTAACTGAATAAAGTTTATATTACTAAGGTAAACACACTGTTGGTACTAAAAGGACATTCTTAATGGGCAACTGGACCTCAGGGAGGTAAGAATAGACATGTCAGACATTTTTGGATCACCAGGTAATTAAGAAGCCTCAACTTCTTCCCTCTGCTGGAGTCCAACTCCAGGAGAGAGTCAGGGCTTGAGATGGGGGAATCAGGAAGCGGTGAAAAAGAAAAGACGAAAATGACAGAAATCCTCTTCCTGGGGAGAGCTCAAGACTCTGCCAATTTTTTTTTTCACAAGCTTATATAGGTTTTCCACTCAGCCCTGCACCTACAAATGTATCTTACATTGCTAACCAAATGCCCACGTACATCCTTTTTGCACTCACAATAAGGTTGCCCATTAATAATTTCAACCACAGATGGTGTTTTTCTTAACTCAAACATTTTTGAACGTCGTGATTTTCTCCCTAACTTTCTCATAACTATTTACTATTATAGGTCTATAATGCCCTTACCTTATAAAGCTAAACCTTAACCCTAAGTCTTATTTAACTTACTTACTACTATATATTTATTTCTATTAATCTTATTTCTATCCTATGTCTCTATATTTTCTTAACTATCACATATACTATTATATATCTCTCATCTTACTAGTTTATCTTATCTTACTATCTTATTAATATTCTAAATTCTACCTTCATTAAACTACTAATTTAATCCTAAAATATCTTAACCTCTTTTTTTATTTCAAATGGTTGTTTTCCACCAGCTCTCAGCTGGGGTCTGTTGTTTATGAGGAAGTAGCCAACTCATTCTTCTTGGGCTCCTGCTGTTGTTTATGAGGAAGTAGCCAACTCATTCTTCTCGGGATCCTCCTGAAAAACATCCTTACACAACCTAAGGGGCACACTTTTTGCTGCAATCTCACCTCCATTATGCCTAGGTATAGTTTTTGCTGTCAAATGCCATCATCCATTTGCACATCTATTATCTAAATTAAAGAGGGAACATTCTCAGGCCTATGCACGCAATCCTTCAAAGTTAGGAAAGATCTGACAACAGGATCCATGGGACTTTGCCCTGTCATGGCTGCATTTTACTGGAGCTGTGCTCCCAGCCAGGGTTTTTCCTGTTTTCAGGTCCCTTTTACCTTACTTTTACTAGTGATTGCAGCTCCTGGCATCCCTCCATTCTTCTTCTCTGGTTTTCAGACTTGTATCTTGGACTGAAAATATTCACAGCATCACCTGGCCTCCTGTCTCATCTTCTGCATCCATTACTGACACCTGACTGAAGGGTATATGAGATAGTTTCCTTCTATTGTAATGTAATTTGATCATACAGTGGTATGTATAGAACCATAAACATAGAGTGATCCCAGGAGAAACGGATGGAAAGGAAGCCATAGCATTGACAGGAAAACTGCCCTAAACCTCCCTCTGCATCCTCCCCTGAGGCTGCCCATCAGTTTGGATCCTGCTCAGCTTCTACTTTGCCATTCCAGGGATGTTTTTGTCAGGGCTCAAAGGACATTTGCTCACTGTGCCTTTTGCACAGAAATATACAGCTGTGTCCTCGTCTTTCAGGTTGTTCATTTGCAGATAAAGCATGTTCTTGGCATTGTCTCTGGAGGTGGTGAACCGGCCCTTCACAGAGTCTGTGTACTTTGTGCTACCACCATCAGGATTAATGTTTGAGATCCACTCCAGCCCCTTCTCTGGAGCCTGGCGGATCAAATACATCCAGAAGCTACTGAAGGAGAAACTGGAGGCCTCATAGGAGAGTCTCAGGGATCCCCCAGGCTGGACCAAACCTCCCCCAGACTCCACCAGTTGTACCTCACACTGGACACCTGCAAACACAAAGACATGCTAGTCATATATAGCCACATATGTCCACTGTTTCTCTCACTTACATTCTCTCACACATAAAATAGTTTTAGATCTCCATGAATCACCTTTTAAAAGAGCAATAAAGAAAAACCAGTGGAGTCCAAAGTCCATGTTAATTCGTCTGTATTCAAGCTTGATCGCTACTTGGAAACAACTGAGAAGCCCAGGCCTAGAACTTCTCTCCCAGATCTACAGGGTCAGAGCTGGACTGGCTTTTATCTGCAGAGGAATGGCCCTATTTGCATGCCTCCTGCTATATAGCAAGCTCTAGGTGGCAATGCCTCAGATAGAGTATTATTCAGAGAATATGAGTGTCCTTCGAGATTTTGATGAAATGATAGAATTTTGAAAATGTAATCTCTCATTATTATATCACTCATTCATAACCACATAGCATAAATTTTTTAAATTTTATTTTCAGTTTTCTTGTATATAATGACGCTACAAGACACTCACATAAGTAATTTTCTTATAATATTATGTTGGATGTTCAAGGTCCACTATATGAGTGATAACATGTGATACACAGATCTTTGTTTCTGGGAGAGATCACTCAGTAGTATAGATTCTAGTTCCATCCAGGTTGCTGCAGAATTCATGACTTTCTTCTTTTTTATGGCTGTGTAGTATTCCATCGTGTATATGTACCACATTTTTAAAATCCAGTCCTCTTTTGATGGACAACATGGTTGCTTCCAGGTTCTTGCTATTGTGAACAGTGCTGCGATAAACATACGTGTGCAGGTATCTTTTTTATAGAGTGATTTGAGTTCTTCAGGGTATATTCCCAGTAGGGGGATTGCGGGGTTATATGGGAGGTCAATATTTAGAGTTTTAGGAATCGCCATACTGTTTTTCACAGAGGTTGCACTAGTTTGCACATTCACCAACAGTGTAAAAGTGTTCCCTTTTCACCACACCCTCTCCAGCAACTCATTTTTTGAGTAATTGATAATTGCCATTCTGACTGGAGTTAGGTGGTATCTCAGTGTGGTTTTCATTTGCATCTCCCTGATGATTAATGAGATTGGACATTTTTTCATGTGTCTGTTGCCTGCTCAAATGTCTTCCTTTAAGAAGTGTCTGTTCATATCTTTTGCCCATTTTGTAATAGGGTTGTTTGTTTTTTTTTCTTTTCAGCACATTTGAGTTCCTTGTAGATCCAAGATGTTAAGCCTTTGTCAGACCTGGAGTTGGCAAATACTTTTTCCCAGTCTGTAGGCTGTCTCCCTGTTCTCTTGATGGTTTCTTTGGCTTTGCAGAAGCTTGCCAGCTTAATGAGGTCCCACGTGTTTATCTTATCCCTTATGGCCTGTGAGTTTCGGATTTTGTTCAGGAATTGGATGCCAGTTCCAATTTCCATGAGGGTATGTCCTTCATTTACTAAGGTTCTTATGGTTTGAGGTTTTGAATTTAAGTCTCTGATCCATTTAGAGTTAATATTTTGTGTATGTGAATAGATAGGGGTCCTGTTTCAGTCTTCTGCATGTGTTCAGCCAGTTTTCTCTGTACAATTTACTGAATAGGTTCTCCTCTCCCCAGTGGTAGGTGGTGGAGGATTTGTCTAAGATGAGTTGGTTGAGAAATTGAGGTTTTGCTTCTGGAATCTCAATTCTAATTCTATTGGTCTATATGCCTGTTCCTGTACCAATAACAACCTGTTTTTATTATTGTAGCTTTATAGTAAAGTTTGAAGTCTGGTAATGTGATACCACCTGCTTTTTTTTTCCCCCCCCTCAGGATTGTTCTGGCTATTCTTGGGCATTTGTGTTTCCATATGAATTCCTGTGTTGTTTTCTCTAGGTCTGAGAAGAACGTTGCTGGTAATTTGATGGGTATTGCATAGAATCTGTAGATTGCTTTAGGTAAGATGGACATCTTCACAATGTTTATTCTTCCAATCCATGAGCATGGAATATTTTTCCACTTGTTAGTGTCATCTTTGATTTCTTTGAGCAGTGTTTTGTAGTTTTCATTGTAAAAATCTTTCTTGTTTCTGGTTAGGAAGATGCCAAGGTTTTCCTTTTTTTGCGTGTGTGGCTATTGTGAATGAAATTGTGCTTTCTCTTTGGGTTTCTGTTTGTTTATTATTGGTGTAAAGAAATGCAATTGTCTTTTGCACGTTTATTTTATATCCTGAGACTTTGTCGAAGTTCTTTATACGTGTAAGGAGGTCTTTGACAGATTCTCTTGGGTTTTCAAGGTACATGATCATGTCATCTGTAAAGAGATATAGCTTGACTTCCACTTTTCCTATTTGTAAGCCCCTGATTGCTTCTCTTCTTTGATTGCTCTAGCCAGAACTTCCAATACTATATTGAACAGGAAGGCTGAGAGTGGGCATCCTTGTCTTGTTCCAGTTTTCAGGGGAAATGGTTCCAGTTTTTGTGCATTTAGGAGTATGCTGGCTGTGGGTTTCTCAAAAATGGCTTTTATTATTTTGAGGTACGTTCCCCGTATGCCTAGATGTGCTTTCTTTTTTTATGCTCAAAACTCCATGAAGATGATTTCGCTACTAGGAACAAATGCTCACAAGATATGTTATTAAAGTAATCTCATATTTAAGTGGCACACAGTTCACCACATCATTTTCTTGTTTTTACCCCCTTCAAGTCTACTTCCTGGGATCTGTGTATCTCCTGTTATTTGAATGCATTGAATTAATTAAATCATTCTTATTCTCATTCTGTTAGTATATCTGAAAGCACTTGTAATTTCTCTTTTCATTCATGATTTTCATGGATGTTTTGGTATAATGATTGCTGCAAGTAACATAGGATGATTAAAGCCACATCAGTAGCCCTTGTTGAGTTTTTTATTTACGTTTTTACAGCATTGCTGTTTTGAAATAAAAATGTCTCAGGTTTTATGATGAATCCCCTCAACCACCCTTTCCCCAGCCTCCTTTGCACCTGCTCCAGGGCTAAGCCTGCGCTGGGTGGATCCTGAGCACCCTCTACTGCCAATTCCCAGCCCTGCAGAAAAACTTCCTGTTTGAGTTCACACAGCATCTTCCTCTCTTGAACGCTTCATGAAAATCTGTGCCTTAGTACAGAGTGCTCCTTCATGACAGGGTATGCAAATAGCACATATTCTTTAAATAAAGAATTTCCTTTGTTGAACCCAGAGATCTCTCTGGATCTGGACTCCAAGCAAAGTGTCTTATAAACCAATCGTGAGCCCCTCCCTGGTGACTTCCAGATGCAATGGTACATTAAATCACACAGTAAGTCCAAAACCGTTTGGGGAGTTTGAGTGAGCCCTGTGTCTTCTTTAGAATTATGTGCTTAACATTCACATTAGACATACATTATCTACAGAAAAGACCACAGAGTCTCAAAGTTCACACATTCAAAGAGAAATTAATCAGAGTTCAAGAAATTTATTGGTGTCAAGGGCTTTTACCTGCTCTACCATCCTGGAATTTTTCTCCTCTGTTGTCTTTGGGGTTCCCTGAGGAGTTCTTTTCCGGAGAGAGAGCCAATTAATTCTCATACATTCTTCTTTAATCCAGATCAATAATACTGATGAGGAATTAATAGGCAAGGCATGCATTCATGATATGCTGTCACAATTGAATGCTGGTGATGTACTGGCCTTCTTCCTCTGAGTTATGGCTTTCAAAAGATATACAGATTATTTTCAAAAATTTTTACTCCATTACCTCACTGCAGTATCCCAAAACTATTTGCTTGCATGTTACCTACATTAACTAAATATATTTATTTACAGGATAAAAGAATATTGGAAGAAGTGGTTTATAATGGTAAGTAATTATTATTTTCTCACGAGGTTTAAGATTATACAAAAGTTCTTCTTGGATACTGGAGAATTATGTCTGGAGAAACTTCATTTGTATTTCTCCATCACTAGCCCTGCACATTTCAGAGTCATTTGCATTGTCACCCTGAGAACTTTTGGGTTCTTGGATGGAAAGTCAGTAGAGTGTGGTGTGTGGGGATTCCACAGCTCTCACCCTTGTACTAGTTTACACCTTTCAATCAAACATTCAGTATAATTACCTGGATAATGTCACCAACCTTTTTAGCTTCCACATTTTTTTTCTGATAATCAGGTCCCCACCCCAGTGATTCTGGATTTGCATGTCTCTCTGAGGTGTTTTTCGTGTAATCACAGTTCTTTGATACATTTGAAAAATCATGGAGTTTAAGTATTCAGATAATTATAGATTGAAAGATGGGTTCCAGCACACTAAGTGGGCTCCACCTTCTGGTGCTTTTCATAGGTAACATGCACAGTGCTATAGTCTTCACACTGTTTACAGTCCTAGGCACCAGCCACTCCACTGCCTCTTTACTACAGCTCTGCTCTTGCTTAGCTAATGGAGGAGGAGGAAGGGTAGGGACTATTTAAATTGGATGAAGAGTAAAAGAGCTACTGTCCCTGGGTGCCTGGCAAGGCAGTCTTCTGGTTCCCTGTGGCAATCTGACTCTCTTCTTATATGACACTACCCAGCTCCAGCATCTAGGAGACTTGAGTAAGAATGTAAATGGGTGAAAAAAGGAGTGTAAATGAGAGGTTGTAAGGGGTTCAATGAGGAAGAAGACTGGAGAGGGAATGTATCTGATAACTCGAACTCAGATCTGAACTGCTGGGAGGCGTGAGAGAGCTGGGAAGTCAGAGGAAGTGCTGAGAGGGGTTGCTGAGGAACATGGGAGGGGGTAAGAAAGACAGAAGCACAGTCAAGCAGCATCCATCCCATGGTTGATAAAGGAAGCATTCCCATCAGTTTCTGCCTGGGACATAGCAGGTTACCTGATATTCCTGCAGAGGCCACTATTACTAGAAGGAAAGGGCAGACCAGTCAGAGTGCCATACATGGTAGTCTGCTGAGATTCCTGGAAAGGGTGATTGGATATAGAGAGACCACAAGCTCTGGCCTGAGATACTGCTGCATACCCCACAGTCTGATTGCACAGAGCCATCTCTGTTGGCAGGAGGTGCAGAAGATCCCCTTCTGGTGTATTGAGAAGCATTGTTTGCATATTTATTTTGCTTTCAGTTCCAAGAGAAGCTCTGGGAAAATCTGTGGATAAAAACCAAATGCCAAACATTTGACTTTGATTCCTTTTCCTTTTCTCTCTATGACTGTTTCAATTGTTCTGTGGTGGTATTAATGGATTTACGAGCCTGGAGCTGCAGTTGCTTTTCTGATTTCCAGCTGCTTTTGTGAATAATTTAAGAAGAAAAACAGAAACTTTTTTTTTTTTTTTTGCACTTTGGAGACAAAAGTGTTTGATGTTTTAATTGGTACAAATGTTGTATTTAATAATACGGTTTTTGTACAGTTTCTGTGTTTTCTACTAGAAAACAATATAAAATCATTGCACAATGTGAAGGGGAAAAAATGACCACTATGACCAAATGTAGTCTGTTCCGCAGCATTAACAGGATTCAATCAACTTAAAGTCATGATTCAGTCATAGAAATGCTTTTCCTTTACCTTGTTTGAGTTTTTCTTTCTTTCCCTTTTTGATTTAATAAGAAAAATATATTTTTTGTGAACTTGTGTTGTACTCTGTAGAAAATAATGAATTTTACTTTAATGGCTAAAAAAAAGACAGAAAGAATCTTTGTCGTCTTTCTTACCTAATAACAGAGTTTGTTTCCTGAATTTAAAAATATATCTTTTTAACAAATTTGGAGCAAGGGAATTATGTGTTTAAAAGGAATCTCCTTCCTTTTCTGTCTTTTTCCTTTTGTCCTGATGGGTGATCAAATTTTGTTTTAATTGCACAGACACACAGACAAAAGTCATTTTTTATCTGCCAAGTGTGGTAATTTCCTTTGTTTTTTGTATTATACTGATTGAGAAGAAACAAAAAAAAGAAAAAAAGAAAGATGGGCCAATGACTTGGAAAACCTATCCAAACAAAAGAAAAGATGAGTTTCAGTGCACAAAAATCTCACCTGCATTTGTTCCTTTGTGCAAGTGGGTGATTGAATGTCCAAGTAACGGGAGACCTCAGATGAAATGCTTGGGACATATTGAAAAAACGGTTACAATCTGCCAAAGTTCTGAATTTTGCACCTGTTGCATGCAATTGATCATCACACATCCATGGAGCATCTCTTGGGAAAAAGCAGAAGAGATCAACTGACATTCAGTACACACTAATACCTTCAGTAGCAGACAGGGCACAGGCAGCAGAGACCATGGAAAAAGCAGTGGGAGGAAATCTTAACCTGGGATCAGTCAGAGAAAAAAATCCAAAAATATAGACTGCCAGCATTTTCTCTGTTTTGGGACTGGACAGAGATATTATTTTCATTATCAATTTCTGAGCTGCCTGTATCCTGAGCAGCTTTCATTCTGAGACCATGGGGTGATTAACACAATCCTCTGAAATTGACTATTCTTTGCCCTGAGCAGATACCCCGAGTGTGGGATGCGCATAGAAACGTGTCCCAACCCCATACTGGAATGAACACATGCACATGCAAAGGGATTGGGAGACCTAGCAGCAGACAATTTGGGAGGTTTTCATAGGAATACTTGCTGGGGAGAGCTGAATGCTGGCAGTGAGAACTGTGGAGGGAAAACGGATAGGGAATCTGAAGCAGACTCCTCAAGAAGGAGTGAGGAGAGCCCAACCAAAGCCAGAATGGTACTCCTGAGCCTTGCAACCAGATTGTAAGGACTAGAGACTGGAAACTACTGAGAATGGAGCAAAATCTTCTGGAAGAGGAACTGAGCAGACACTTGTTTTTCTTTATTCTCCTTTTTTCTATCCTTCTCCTTTCTCCTTTGTCTCCTATACCCTGTCTTGGCCTAAGTAACTCTGCAAGCATATCTGTTGTATAGTCATATTGTGCAGAGATGAAGAACATGTCCCAGATGGCCCATTCCCTGGATAGCAAATATTATGACCTGCCAATAGGTTCTGAAACCTTGAAGCACTCCTTGTCTTTTAGTAAGTACTCAAAAGTTAAAAGAGACAGCACATTACCTGACCTCCAATTCTAATTCATAGTTGAACAATCCTGAAGCTCAAGGAAGGACCAAAAGTAGAATCAATATCAGAAGTGATATCTTCTCCATTTTTCACTGAGCAATGGAATTTAAGAGACAAATAGTAAAAATGCTACAAATTTAGAATAATCAATGAAGAAGTGCTGGTGACCAGAGACCCAATAAAGAATCAGTGCTAGGGAGAAGAGCTACTGGGGCAAAATCAATGGCTGTCTATAAGAAGGACAGTACCCCAAAAGAACTTACATATATCATATAATTATAGGACAGAATAAATAAAAATCTAGAAAGGCTGGGACTAGACTAAATTGAGTTGCAAAAGAGCTGGACAAACTCAAGAAATGATTCTTAGAAATAACAGAAATGAATAACTATTCAATATACAAATGACAAAGTGACAAGCATGGGAAGCAGAATTGATCAAACAAAAGAAAATATCTCAGAGTTGAAAAACCAAATTATGGAATTAGTACAATCTAATAAAATATAGAAAAAAAATAGAAGAATGAAGAAATTCTCCAAGAGAAATTTGATTTTATCAAGAAACCAAATCAACATCTGATAAGAATAAATGAAATCGACAGAAAATTGAAAATATCCTAGAACAAACATTCCATAAATTCATTCAAGTAAATTTATTATATCTGTCCATAGAGATAACTGTATGAATGGAGGAGATTCAAAGAAGTCCTGAAAGATTTCTTTTGAGAAGACCAAACTCTAGACAAATAGGAATTTACCTACACCAAATAGGTGTAACAGACAAAATTCGAAAAGAAGAAAAAGGAAAAGGTGAGACTACCTTCCATAGGAGATCAATCAGAATTACTGCAGATTTATCTTCAGAAACATTGCAGGCTATAAGGAAATGGAGCAAAATCTTTGCAATTCACAGTGATAACAAATTTCAAATAAGAAATTCCTACCCAGATTTAGTTTCATCAGTGAGAGAATTAAAATACTTTTCAGTAGATCAATTCCTAAGAGAATATGTTATTTTGAGAACAGGTCTACAGGAGATGCTTTGAATGGTGCTTGTAAGTGGACCTTTAACAAATATTGTAATACTGCAAGAAAGGGATTGACAGTAGTTGGAAACTGCCAGGGATGATGGGGACACTGCATCAACAAGTGTAGTTGCATAATGAACATTTATATACCTAAACCTGAATTGTGCCCCATATATTGAAAATAAAAATTAAAAAAATAAATTTATAAAAGGCGCTGTGCACAGAAGTAAAAGAAACAAAAACCCCCAATACTCCACAGGATCAGAAACACAGAAACAACAGAAAGCGCAGCATATCTGTAAAATGAAAACACACACATATACGAACACAAAACAAAAGAAAACAAAACAGTCTTTGGAGAACATTGTCACAGAGTCAAGCTCTCATATTTTAATATTCAGCCCGAATGTGAATGGATTAAATGAAACACTGAAAACACGGAGAATGGAAAAGTGGACAAAAATACATGACTCAGTAATTTGCTCAGTAAACTCATCACACCACTAAGGATGCTCAGAGACTCAAAGTTAAAGAAGGGACAATGAAATTGATGGCAGACATGTCACAAAATAATACAGGAGTCCTGGTCTTAACACGAGTCAAAACAATCTTAATGCTAAAAGAAGTGTGCAAAGACAAAGAAAGACACCATATAATGATAAAATATTTGATCAATCAAAAAGACATATCCGTGCTAAACATATATGCACCGAACACAGGAGGAACAGCATTTACAAAACAGCTACTAAGTTAAAAGAAAAAAAAGGTATTGACACTATGATAGCTGGAGACGTAAGTACTCCACTAACAACCCTAGGTAGATCACTGAGGATAAAAATCAACAAGAAGATCTGGAATCTCAACTTGAATCTTGGACCAAATGGATTTAGTTGATACCTACAGAATATTCCACTCAACAACTCCAGAATGTACATTCTACACATGAAGTATATGCAACATGCCCCAAGATCATCACATCATAGGCCATAAATCAAGCATAAACATATTTTACAATATTAAAATATGACCATGCATATTCTGAGGCAATATTGGAATAAAAATAAATATCAACAACAAAATTCCCACTAATTTCATAAAGACATACAAACTAAGTAGCACAATACAGAACTACTCTTGGTTCAACACAGACATCAAAACAGAAATTAAAATATTCCTAAAAAGAAATGAAATAAAGAAACACCATAGGGGAGGGAGGGACACACCTCATCAAAAAGGGTACCTGCATAAACAATATGTGTACACCAACACTGAATTGTTTTCCACATCTAGAATATAAAAAAAGAAAGTAAACGCTACTGTTCACAACTAGGCAAATCAAAAAATTGAAATACCTTACCAAATCCTCTGAGATGCCATGAAAACAGTACTGAGAGGCAAATTTGTGTCTCTGTTAGGAGACATCAAAAAAAAATAGAATGAGAACAAATGAACAGCACAACCAATCACCTGTGGGTGCTTGAAAGGCAAGACCACCAAAACCATAACTTCAGAAAAACAATCCAAATCACCAAAATAATAGCCTATATATGGGACAAAGAAGACAAAAAATACCATAGGAAAACATAAATAAATAAATAAACAAACAAACAAACAAATAAATAAATAAATAAAAGCTGGTTTCTTGAGAGAATAACCAAGATTGATGGACCCCTAGCCATAAGAAAAAGAGTGAAAAAATCCAAACAAACACAACCAGAAATTGAAAAGTTAAAGTCACAATTAACCCTGAAGAAATAAAAATGTTTATTAGAGATTGCTATGCACACCTGTATAGACCAACTGTACAACCTAAATGAAATGGAGGACTGTCTCATATCACACAAACTCCCAAGATGGAAACAATAAATAGCCCAGTAACAACCCAGGAAATTCACTCTGTCATAAGAAATCTACTTACAAAAAATTGAGCAGGAACAAATAGATTTCCAGTGGGAATCTTCAATACATAAATACATCCAAGAAGAAGTTAATACCAATCTTATTAAAAATATTACCAGCAATCAAAAAAAAAAACTCCACAAAATCATTTTATGGTGACAAGCTGACTCTCAAACAGGTTAAAGATCCAATGAAGAAAGAGAACTACAGTCCATACCCCTAATAAACATAGATGAAAATACACTCTATAAAATTCTAGCAAATTGGATGCAACAACACATTTCATAAACCATCCACCATGAACTAGTTAACTTCATCCCTAGGATGCAGGGCTGCTTCAACATCCAAAGTCCCATAAAAATAATTAAATACATTAACAAATGCAAAACAGGAAACAATATTTATAGTATTAGAGAGTAAAAGGTTTCAATAAAATCCACCATTCATCCGTGATAAATGCCCTTGACTACCTAGGTGTAGTTGGAACATACCTGAAAATAGTAAGAGTCATCTGTGAAAAACCCACAATCACCATATTTCTAAATGGACATAAATTGGAAGAATTTCTTCCCAAAACTTGAGCAACACAAGGCTGTTCATTCTCACCCCTCCCCTTCAAAATAGTGCTTGAAGTTCTAGCTAAACAAATCAGACAAGAGGAAGAAATTGTGGTATCCACAAAGGAAAAAAAATGTCAATTATACCTCTTTGCTGACTAAATGATCCTGTACCTCAAAACTCCAAGTGTTTCTGTCAAAAAACCTATTTGCACTGATACAGGGATATGGCAAAATCTCTGGGTACCAAGTATATGTCCAAAAGGCAGTCACATTCTTATACACTAGTAGCAAATAGGCAGAGAACTTACTAGAAAGCTCAATCCCTTTCATAATGCCACAAAAAGTATACATACAATAGTATCTTCCTAACCAGAGGAGTGAAAGTCCTGCAAAGTGAAAACTACTAAAACCTGATTAGAGAAGTCAAATATGACACAAACAAATAGAAAAATATTCTATGGACAATAATTGGAAAAATCAGCACAGGTGCACGATCAATCTTACCAAAGGCAAACCACAAATTCATTGCTGTAACCATTAAATAACCAATATAATACTTCTCAGACCCAAAACAATACAAAAATTCATATAGAAATATAATTGACAATGAATAGTCGAAACAATTCTTAACAAAGAAACAAAACTGGAGGTATCACACATCCAGAGTTTAAACATTATTATAAGGCTACAATAATCCAAACAATCTGGTATTGGGACAAGGACAGGTATATAAACCAAGGAAGCAGGATAGAGATTATGGAAGCAAAACCTCCCTTTATCAACCAACACCTCTTCAACAAATCCTCTAACAACAACCACTGGGGAAAGGAGAACCGAATTGTATCCCCCTCAAAATTCTTATGTTGGAGCCCTTCCCAAAGCATGAAAGTATTTAGAAAAAATAATTTTGGAGGGGAGTTACTTAAGGTTAAATGAAACACTAGATGTGAGGTGAGGTTCTGGCTGAAAATATTATAAGTGAAGATCTCTGTGTCTCTTTATCTCTCCTCTCTCTCTCCCTGCTTCCCTCATTCACTTTGTGCATTATATAATAGCAGAGCTGGTAGTTCTTAATCTTCAAGCCAGGAAGGTATCCCTCATAACAGCTGGTAGTCTTTAATCTTCAAGCCAGGAAAGTATTTCTCAAAGCAGCTGCTACCCAAAACAAAGTGGAGGACTGAGAAACGAATTTCTTCTATAACAAATACCTACAATATTTTTGTAGATTTGCAACTGTGTGATGGATAAAGAGTATATATTTTTTAGATGAATGCAATTGTATATTTGACAATGGAGTGTGTAGAGAGTTGAAAAAATAAACAGGAGAGCAGGTGAATAAGCTCTTGACGTTTTTAAAAAGAATACACAGATAGACATGGTAGGATGTTAGTAGAAATGTGGACATTAAAGGTACTTCTCACGAGGTCTCAGACGAAACAATCCCAAAATTTTGGAAATAAAGAAAACAAATTACTTGTTTCAAATTATCGAATAGTTTGAGTAAATTACATTTGTTTTTTTATTACTTAGTGAAAGGTAGACCATTAGTGTGATAAAACTGGATAATTAGCTGAGGTGATTTCTAAGCTAAGTATATAAGGAGTATTTTAGTTACTCCTGACTATCTATAGTAATTTTTCAGATAAGAGAGATGTACTTACACAAAAACTAAGAATTAAAGACATCTTTTTCCTTTTTCATTGTTTTTTAGTGATAAAATACATAAAATATAAAATGTGCTATACTAACCATTTTTATAAATTCAATTCGGTGGCATTAGTTACATTCACAACACTGTACAATCAAAACCATTGTCTTGTCATTCAGGTCCAATTTTTTATTTACTGCAATAGCCTTTGTAGACAGGGAAAAAACAGAGAGTTTTCCCAGCACTTTCCAATCCTAGATCAAATCTGAAATGGCATCACTTCTATCTGATGCTTCAGTATCTCCAGGAAAGGCGCCTTATTCATTAATAGATCATGTATCTATTCACTCTGTGTTATGACAGATTAAAGATTAGCTCAATTCTACATTGGACTCTCCCCCTCCTATTACAGCTACATGCCTGTCCTTTATTTCTTACCTTTCAAACTAGAAACATGTCAACATATGCAGTACGTGTTTACTATGCACTGTGGACTTTGACTCTCTATTTTGAAAGATGAGGACATTAATATCCCCATCATTCCATTCATTATCTTTACCTGAATTTCAAGTTCAGCTAAATGTATGTTACTTTTACATTGTAATTAATGGTAATGTAATTATCAGTTAATCAATATAGCAAAATAAGAGGGATTGGTTTAAAGAGGATAATAAGAACATTGCTGAAAATTACTGAATAAGATTGATAGATGTAATTCATTGATTTAATCTATGGTCTCAATAAAAACCAGGAATATATGATGTTTGACCCATAGAAATAGGTTTCATTTGAATTTTCACCATGCAAGTGGAAACAATCTATTTCAGCCCCATCCCTTGGAGTTGATGAATAAAACTTCATGAGTAATCATTAACAATTTGGAATCTAGAACAGAAGAGCTGAAGAAGAGTGTCTGAATTGGCTTATTTAGTCGTGACCTAACTGCTACAGCTGGACCTGAAACTGGACACTGGGGACAGAAGGACCCAAAGTGATTAAGGTGCTCTGGTGAAGCATCCTCATATCTTCATGTCTAAACCAGGAACTACTCTCCTCTGAGAACCACCAGCGAAGTACCACAGGTGTTTCATGTTCTAATGACTGAAGTGATTATTCCAGGAAAATCATTGAGAAGTTGAGGAAGGCACATGTACTCATGTAAATGTGTACTATGACCTCTTGCCAGTATCTGCTATGATATGCAGGTTGGCATTGGAAATTCATGTAAATATGAAAAAGGATGAGATGAGGTCCGTGTCCATGGTGGTCACCTTCAAGGAAGAAACTGGCTTTATTTTCACAAAAGTCTTCTACTTATCATCTGCACTTCACCATTCCCAGGATCCTCTTATTTTAAGTTATTAAATTTGTTGAAGGAGATAGAAATCCATGAAAGATTA